TGAAAGTGTTGAAGAGCAGAGATGTCAGCTTGAGGACAAAGGTGCACCTGACCCAAACCATGGTATTTTCAATAACCTCATATGCCTACGAATACTGCACAGTGAATAAGGAAGACCATAGAAGAATTGATGCCTTTGAGTTCTGGTGTTGGAGGAGAATATTGAAAGTACCATGGGCTGCCAAGAGAACCAATAAATCCATTTTGGAAGAAGTGCAGCCAGAGTGCTCCTTGGAGACCAGGATGGCCAAACTTCATTTCTCAGACTTCGGACATACTGTCAGGAGGGACCAGTCACTGGAGAAGGATATCGTGTTTGGTAGGGTGGAAGGACAGAGAAAGAGAGGAAGACCCCCCAGTGAGATGGATTGGCCAAGTGGCATCATTGATGGACTCAAGCATGGCAACTTTAGTGAGGTTGGCCCAGGATTGAGCAGTGTTTCGTTCTGCTGTGCATAAGGTCACTATGAGTCGGCACCAACTCAGTGGCACCTGACAACAACAACAAAGTCAGGAGCATAGTGGGCTACCCATCTATGGTCAGCAGTTTGAATCCTCTGCAAGGAAAGAGGAGACTTTCTGCTCTGTCAAAGATTGACAGCCTCGGAAACCCTATGTAGGCTTGCTGTGAGTCGGGATTGACTCAGTGACAGTGAGCTGGGTCCGGAGAGGCACAAGAAGAGCTTTGGGGTGATTGGTAATGGTCCGTTTCTCCATCTGGATGATGTTACCCAGAACAAGAGCAGGTAGACTACTTCAAAAAGGGAACGGTTTGTCCACCATGGACGCTGTGTGACAGTCGGCTTGGTAACACGTCTAAAACAGTCAGGACCATGGAAAGCAAAAGAGCCACCAACTCCGCCTAGACTTTGGGTACTGTTCTTCCTCTAGAGTCTGTCTGTTTAGACAAACATTGAAAACCACTGCCCACACATAGCAAGTATTGCTGGGCTACTCATTGAGAGCCCCTTGTTTAGATGAGAGGTTGGATTTCTAAGCAGTCTCATGTGACACACACAGCTGCCTCCCCTCCCCCCCCCCAAGAAAAACCTGTTTATTCTGTGAAAGACTGGTAGGATGACTGCATGTCCCCTGGGGCCTGGCCTGGACACCTAGTAACATTTACCATTTGCCTTGGGGAAATGTGTGTTTTGCAAAATCCATTGAACCTTACAGTTATCAGGATAGATGGTAATTCAGCCTGCAGGGCCTCAGAAGGCGTTGTTCCTGTATCAGACCTCGTGTTTGGTTGCTACACCTCGGATTCTTACTAAATTTGAGACCCTGACGCTGATTTTGCTGAGAAGAGACCAGGGAGCGGCTCTGCTTTCGGGATTTGATGTGAGGATGTGAGGGCCAGCTTCCTGGTTGTGCAGCTGCTGAGCCATTGGCCATTGATCTTGTCGTGTCCCCCCCCCCCCACACACACACACACACACTTACTGTAGACCAGAGGTGAGACCTAATCCTAGGTCATGTCGGGAGGCGTCTCCTGGCAGGTTCTCACCCTGATCGTTTGTTCCACGATCGTCAGCACCATCACTAACTAATGGATTTCACGTCAATCAGCTTTATGTTTGTAATGTTACTGTGGGCTCTGGGTGGTGTGGTCACTGTTTGGTAGTATGTCATCGTCTTGCTTCTCTTTAGGGTTCACACCACCCTGAGTTTGTCCAGTGGAAACCCACTTGTATGGTCAAAACAGCTGCGTACTTTTGTCAGGGGCCCTGGTTCCCTTTAGAAGGTGCTATTGAGAAACTGAGGTCCTGCTAGACAAGTGTCCTGGCTTCAGTGCAGCGCTGTCTGAGACTGCCTCTCACTCCCTGGCCTGACCAGCTAAGAGGAGATCTCCGGCTGCGGTTCAGTGAGTCATCTAGTGTCTCTCTTCTAGTCACAGTCTATAACGCCCACCCAACCACGTTTCTGCCCTGCTGGGTCTAGATAAGAGAAGGTGGGAGAAGATACTGATAGGAGGGCACAATTCATCTGTGGGTATTAGCAGAGTTCATCGTAAATGTAAAAACTTGCAACTCTGGCATGAGTGTCAAAGGAGCCACCTCAGAAGCAGATGGGGATCTCACTACCATCGGAGAGAAACAGCCAGGAATGGAGAGTGTCCTGTGGACCCCAAGACCCCTGTGCATTGAACCTCAACCCAGGGACAGAGAGCTGTGACCCTGGAGGAGGGGCGGGGGAGCAGCAGCCGCAGAACTGGACAGAGCAGTGGGCTTCCCAGCACATGGGCAGGCAAAGCTGAGGGACTCTGGGCAGGAGGCTTCGTTGCAGAGTGGAGTGTCTTCCTTCCGGCTGAGGCGGACACTGGAGTGATTGCCCTAGGGGCAGGGCTGAGGAGGCGGTCCTACTGGAAGAAGTGTGCTCCGAGCATTTCTGATCCTGAATTCTGACCTGTCCACTTCCCTAACAAGCCCCGTAACTGTGAGTGTGCTGTCTGAGTCCTGTGTGGCCATTGCAATGGATTCTTGAACCCAGCTGAGGAGTCCCATAGTTTTTCATTGTTAAACTTGGGGGTTTTTTTACGGTGCAGGGGCTGTGAGAGAGAACGCTGAAGCTGTCTGCTTCCGTAAAGATTGCAGCCCTGGTAAAGTAGGTGGGCAGTTGGGCTCTGCCCTCCGAGACCGTGGGTTTGGTCTGGGCCAGATGGAAGGCCTGGCACCAGTAGCGGGCTCAGCGTGTGGGGTGAACAAAGGCCGAAGGAGAGTGAGAATCCCAGGTTTGTTCCCAAGTCTGGTGTCAGTGGACCGCCGTGGACTCAGAAACTAAGCCCTTTGTCCTCAAGTTGACTATGACTCATCACAGTCCTCTAGGGCAGAACAGAGCTAGCTCCCCGGTGAAGTGGCTGAGACTGGCCCATCTTCCATCCACAGACCAACTGGTGTGTTTGAACCTCCCACCTTGTGGTTAGCAATCCAATACTTAACCTCCCAGTGTGCTACCGGGTCTCGTAGACTCAGGACAGGGTGCAAAGGGGCGGGGGGAACGTTCTGCCTTTTTAAACTGCCTTGAAAATTGGGTTTGCTTAGTCCTGCGGGTTGCAGAGCTAAGGAGCTGTGGAGATCAGCCTGGGCTCCTGACTCGGCTGATCGGGGTGTGTCTGTGGGCAAGACTGCAGAATCCCGCCAAGCTGGAGATTGCTTATGGTGTGAACCACCTGGTCTCAGCTGTGTTTCTTTTTCTCCTCCTCAGGATTGTAACATTTTCAGAGAAGCTTTTGGGAAGAACGAGTCTACCTCAATAAATGAAGGAGAATAAAGAAAATTCAAGCCCTTCAGTAACGTCAGCAAACCTGGACCACACAAAACCATGTTGGTACTGGGATAAGAAAGACTTGGCTCATACACCCTCGCAGCTGGAAGGACTCGACCCTGCCACTGAGGCCCGGTACCGCCGGGAGGGGGCTCGTTTCATCTTTGATGTGGGCACACGTTTGGGGCTGTATCCTGATTTTCCTCAGTGGCCATCCTTGTTAGGCATGGGCTCCCCCTCCCCTGCCCCCAGTTGAATGGGCTGGCTCGATTAAAACAGCTTACGAAAAGAGGTTTCTGATCTGCCCAGCCCCTGGGGTGGGAGGTTGTCCATTTGGATGCATAGACTTAGCCATAGAGAAGGGTGGTAAAGCCACACCTGATTTGTTACCTAAACCCTGTGCCTCTTAATCTGGGTACCAGAATCCTGATGCCCTGAGATTCCCAGCTGTCCCCTTGACCACTGGGATGTGCTTACTCACCCTTCCTTGGCTTTGCTGTTGTCATTGTTTGTCTTCACCATATTTCCACATAAGCTATAAAATATAAAGTATGAAAACGCTTGGATAAAGTCCTTAACCAGAGCCACAGACACTATGACACCCTGGCAACTGGGATAATTTATTTCCATCGTTTCTACATGTTTCATTCCTTCAAGCAGTTCCCAAGATATGTAAGTGCCTGGTGGTGTTGGTCGTCTCGGGCATTGACTGTGTGCACACAGTGTTTCCTTGATGGATGAGCTGTACTGATTGTAAACACTAGTGGGTGGATTGTAGTCTGCTGATATCTTATTTTTCCAGGGAGGGTTTTTATTGTGACGGTGGTGGTGTTAAGTGCTGTCAAGTCCATTTCAACCCATAGCAACTCTATAGGGTTTCCAAGGAGGGGCTGGTGAGCTTGAACTGCCGACCTTATGGATCAAAGGAGCTCTGGTAGCGTAGTGGTTACGAATCGGGCTGCGAACCTTAAGGTCAGCGGTTCGAAACTACCAGCCGCTCCGCGGGAGAAAGATGAGGCTTTCTACTCCCGTAAAGATTTACACCCTCGGAAACCCTGTACAGGGTCGCTATGGGTCGGACCCGACTCGATGGCACTTAACAACAACAACAACAACATATTAACCCACAGCGCCACATCAGGACTCCTTATTGTGGTGTGGTGGTGGTTATGTGCCGTGGAGTTGGTTCCAGCTCATATTGACCCTGCACAGGGTTTCTGAGGCTGTAAATGTTTATGGGAGCAGAAAGCCTCATCTTTCTAGCGCGGAGCAGCTGGTAGTTTTAACTGCTGACCTTGCGATTCACAGCCCGATTCACAGCCCAATTCATAACCACTACGCTACCAGAGCTCCTTATTGTGGTGTAGAGTATACATAAACAAAAGCAAGTTGAAAATGTTTTTTTACAGTTAACCACATTTAAATCTTTTTTTTTTTTTTTTTTAATTTGTGCTAATGTGGATCTTGTGTCCTTAGGGAGTAAGCGTTTTTGTCCTTATGACCGCTCCGTGTAATGCTGGTGAGGACAGCAGGCGGGGTAGAATGGTCCGTGTCAGACCCTCACTCTTTGGTCACTCCTCCAATACCCGCAGGAGAGTAGCAATTGTCTTGCCCTTTGTGGGGTCTTTTTCTGCCCTGTGGGGGATTCAGGTAGTACCTCACCTCAAGTGGCCATATGGTGTGTGTGGCACACATACTGGCAAAGAGGCCCTGGGAGAGGTGAGGCGTTGAGGGGAGAGCAGTGTTCCACACCAAGGGTTTCAGGAGGCACCCACCTTGAGTCGACAAGCACTGGACTGCAGGGCAGCAGCAGCCGCTGTGGAGGAAGAGGAGGCTGTCGCTCCCGTGAAGCCTGGCGTACAGAGTCGCTCTGACTTCGAATCAACTCAGGGACAGTGGGTTTGGGGTTCGACGTTCTGAGATGGGCCAGAGCGCCAGGCCAACCACAGACACGGGGCCAGGAGGACAGGACAGTGGACCCCAGGGTGTAAGGCAGCCAGGTGCCACCAGACTGGAAGGGCAAGGCTGAAGAAGAGGACAGAATGAGACTTAGCAGAAAGCTGGTTGGAGGCCGGGCCGGGGCGGGGCGGGGGGGCCCCTTTCCGTAGATTTACTTTGTTTTGGGTGCAAGCCTTCCTCCCTGGCATGCGTATGAGGCCTTCAGGGAAGGAGAGGTCATCAGAGCAGCTCTGCTGTGTGGCACGAGCTCTGGCCTCCCAGCAGCATGGAAGGAGGCGTTAGGGGAGCCACAGGAGCCACACGAGAGCGGAAGGACGAGGCAGAGTTTGTTGTTGTGGGAGGCTTGCTCTTTGACTCCAGAATAGAGCCTTTCTCTCCATGTCCTTTTACTTTGTGGCTTCTACCAAATTTGCGGGTGTCCGTATGTCACCTTCCTTCTAGCTTCTAGAAAAAGCGCCCCTCACACGCCCAGGAAGAGGACCGGCTGACCAGGAGGTATACTGTGATGACAGTGTGGGTCTCCCTCCCTCTCTCAGGTTACAGGAGCGTGCTGTCTCTTTCTAGCTGGGAAAGTAGAAGAAACGCCCAAAAAATGTAAAGATATCATCAAAACTGCTCGTAGCTTGTTAAATGATGTACAGTTTGGCCAGTTTGGAGATGACCCTAAGGTAAGCATTACATCTTTTGTCTCCTGCCCTGGATCCCACGTGGCAGTGTTGGTGCATGGTCTGGTGGGGGCCGTGGCCTCCTGTGGCCTGGGTGGGCCTCTACTCCTGAGAGGCAGTGTGTGAACACAGCGAGGTCCTGCGCACACATCACGGCTCTGAGCTCAGAGCTTCTCCCTTCCAGTCACAGCTCTCCGCAGCACCTGGCCTTGGTAACTAGTGGTGCCGGCCTCCCACAGGCCTGCCCACAGCAGCAAACAGTGTGGAGATGCTTGGGCACCTGCTTATCCTCATCTGTTCTAGAAAGTAACAGTGTAGAACTGCCCGGTAGGGTTTTCCTTCAGGGCACGTCACCACGTCTTTCTCCCGCAGAGACTGGGTGGGTTGGAACCGCGAACCTTTTGGTGCTTGCCCAAGTGCTCTCACTGCGTCACCACGCTCCTTGTGCCCTGTGGCTCTGGTTGCTGTGTTATCATTAAGAGCTGTCAAGTTGGTTCCGACTCAGACCCTGTGCACAACCGAGCGAGACACCGTCCACTCCTACACCATCCTCACAGCTGTTGTGTTTGAGCCCCTTGCTGCCACGGGGTCAACCCATCCTATTTAGGGCTCTTCCTCTTTTCCCCGACCCTCGCCTTTACCCAGCATGGTCTCCTTCCTGATGACATGTCCAAACTGTGAGAGGTGAAGCCTCACCATCCGAGCTTCTAAGGAGCACTCTGACTGTACCGCTTCCAAGACATGTATTTGTTCTTCTGGCAGTGCACGCTACTTTTAATATTCTTCGTCAGCACCATAATTCAAATCCGTCTTCTGTGGTCTTCCTTATTCATTATCCATAACTTTCACATGCATATGCAGAGACTGAAAATACCATCGCTTGGGTCACGTGCACCTTCCTCCTCAACTTTGCATCTTTTAATTACCCTTCGTAGCATTTATTACAGATCACAATTATTGTTAAGTGCCACTGAGTCAGTTCCAACTCATACTGTATAGGGTTTCCGAGGAGCAGCTGGTGGGTTTGAACCATTGATCTTGTGGTTCGTGGTCCGGTGCTGATCCTAACATTGCCACTCCAAGACTCCAGCTCATCATTTTGTTGATGCTAACTGCCATCCAGACAGTTTGGACTCATAGCAACCCTGTACAGGGATTCCAAATCTGTAAATCTTTGCGGGAGCAGCAAGCTTCATCTTTCTCTCAAGGAGAAACTGGTGGACTCAAACTGCCGAAATTGTGGTTCACAGTCCAGTGCTTATCCTACCAGGGCCTCCATGCTCCCAAGCTCATACTTAATCAAGTGTCCACAGAAGTTACCTTCTCCCCTTCTCAACTGTAAAATCTACAAGAGCACAGGCCACCTCTGATTTGCCGCGTGTCTAGTATTGTGGCAGGCAGAGGATAGTTGGTTAATAAAAGACAAGTCCATGCCTGGGGGAAAACAGAGCCGCACGGCTGACACAGTCCTGAGGAAGGCAGTCCAGTTCAGCACCATTTAAGGTCGTGTTCCTGAGCAGCTTGTGTATCCCCCCCCACAGCTGCCCGTCTCCCTGCCAAAGTGGTGTCAGTGTGGTTCCAACCCTGCCGCTCAGTTACAAACACCGGCATTCCCACTCACCTGCTTGTTTGAACCTATTGGTTCCTGCGATACCAGTCAGACAGGCTTCCTGTGCCAGGTGGGCAGGTGATGCTCACAGAGCAGAAGATGTGCTGCTGTACCATGGCGGGCGGGCACAGCAGGGTGAGGGCTTGTGATGGCAGCTGGCATGGAGACAGCCCCCATGATGCAGTCTGTCATCGGAGCCAGCGGGGAACAGAGGTGTCTATGTGGGGCCCAGGGCAGGAGACACATGAACGTGGTGCAAGGCCTTGGAAGGCCATGGTATAGGACAGTTGGGGCAGCAGCATGTGCCAAGTCCATGAACGGTGTTGAACTGTAGTTGCCTTCATCAGCTGGGCTTTAGCAACTGTGATGGTTTGGGGTTTTTTTATCCCTACCAAATGAGTCTGCCGTGCATTTATTTAACAAGGAACTTGTTTCAGCCATGTCAGGCACTCATCATAAATAGGTGGCAAAGCAGACATGGTCTTGGCTCTCAGGAATTCTCAGGGGTCGAGGGAGGGGGACAGATTCTAATCAATCACAAAACAATGATCTGATTCTAACCTGTAATAAGTTCACTAAAGGAGAATCAGAAAGTGCTGGGAGGCCATTGGATGTGGGGTCCTAGACAGATTCAGCGGAATGCTGTTTGTGCTCATTCCCGTGATCCCTCCTGTCTCTGCGTTCTGGATGCACAGTGGGCAAGCTGGAGACACTGATAGTGCCCTGCGGGCTGCAGCCTGGGAGCCAGCAGGCGCTCACGGCCTGAGACTCATTCTAAATTTAGAAGAATTGTTGGTGCTGCTGAGAAACAGGTGGGAACCAAAAAGCCAGGCCAAAAAATAAATCCATAAAGGCGGTGTGGGGAGGAAGGAATTCTACGGTGTGGACACTTCTCGGAGGGCGTAGGCTTTTAAAAGGGATTTGTGGGAAATGGGGTCTCAAAGCCTGAGTCTTGCCAGGCCAGGTGGAATCAAATCCCTGCAGAACCCTCTCTGTCCTTCCTGTGAGGCTCCCCACACGCCTCTGCCCAGAGGTAACTCTGAATCCATTTCCTCTCTGCTCACAGGTGATGTCCTCACACGGGGTCAGTACACCCAGCAGCAATAGGCGAAGAAATTCATAGAAAAGCACAAGAATGAACAAATGTAAAACAAGTAAAGGGCTGAAAAATAGGTTTTTGTAAATAAGTATTTTGGTAGGAAGAATCAGTAGAGTTAAAATGTCTATTTTCTGGAACGTTTATAAATCCATCAAGTCCTCAGTCAGCGCATCCGGAGGCTTCTGGTTTTCCCAGAGTGGCCCTAAGTAAAATGATCATAACATTTGGGTAGGAAGAAAAAAAAAAGAAATGTTTTGAAAAATAGGAATAGTCAAACAACCCAACCACGTAGTTAGTAAAGCCATTTGATCTGATACAGAAGTAGGGAAATTCATCCCTAAAAAGAAGATGTCTGTGTGTGTGTGTGTGTGTGTGTGTGTGTGTGTCTGTGTGTGTGTGTGTGTGTATGTCTGTGTCTGTGTGTGTGTGTGTGTGTATGTCTGTGTCTGTGTGTGTGTGTGTGTGTATGTCTGTGTGCGTGTGTGTATGTGTGTGTGTGTGTGTGTGCGTGTGTGTATGTCTTTGTGTGTGTTTGTGTGTGTGTGTTCAGCATGGTTGTGCACATAAGGTGGTTTAGCAGCTGATTAAGGCAGCATTTCCAATAAAGGAGGAAATGCTGTCGTCAATAAATGATAAGCAGCTTCTTTCTGATGAACGATTTATACACAGATAAGATGTATGCACACACACACTGTGTAAATCATGCCCTGGGACTGCTCCCCATCTGAGTCTGCTTGACCATCATCATAGTCTGTGTCTTGTGTCAAGTTGTCCATGAAAAGTCCTCATCAGTGTTCGGAAGGACTGGATTTGTTTAAGGGAGGGTTTGAGAGAAGCTACAATTCGGTTTGATGGTAAAGTGAGTTTTTCTGTAAAGGAGGATTCGTCTGGGTGTTGAAAGTAGTAGCATGTCTAAGGACCTTTATTTATTTTTTTTTAGTTCTTCATACTTTTAGTTCTTTTCGTTCCTGTCATTGTCTCTGAGCATGATAAAAGCTTGAATGGGAGAGAGGGGAAACAATGAGAAATGGTTGCTAGCATGGAACTTGCCGAGAGAATTGACGAAGACAGGCGAGCTTGGTTGGTTGGTGCCAGTCTGGGTCCTGTGAGGCTTACCTGGTGTCCCCCCCCCACACATCCCCACTGTTCCCCCCCTCCCACGTGGTGCTTTGTGTTTAGGAAGAAGTGATGGTGCTGGAGAGAATCTTACTGCAGACCATCAAGTTTGATTTACAAGTGGAGCATCCTTACCAGTTTCTACTCAAATATGCAAAACAGCTCAAAGGTAAGGGGCGGGGGGAATACGGAGCGAATGTTCACATTCTGAAATCATGTCTGTATCATGTGGTATGGTACTCCTATGACGTTTCCCTCAAGACAAAACAAAGGCTTGGGTGTGTGAATTTCCCGCACAGATGGGCTTGTCCAGACACATTTTCTGTGCTCTTACCTCTCTTTCCTGTTACTGCGTAAACAGATGCTGTCAGCCAGTGCCCAAGTGATGGTGGTGGTTATGTGCCGTGGAGTTGGTTCCAACCCATAGTGACCCTGCACAGGGTTTCCGAGGCTGTAAATCTTTACAGGAGCAGAAAGCCTCATCTTTCTCCCACATAACAGCTGGTAGTTTCGAACTGCTGACCTTGCTGTTCACAGCCCAGTTCATAACCACTGTGCTACCAGAGCTCCTTGGCCAAGTGATGGGAGGCAGCAAAATGAGTCCGGATTTGTAAATAACCAAATGAAATGAGCCCTGGAGTCTGGTCTCCTGTGTGCGGCAGCTCAGCTGGGGTCACGCGGGCACAGAGGCTAGTCCTTGTCCTGCTCTCCCACACCCGAAGCCCTCTGCTGGGGGTAGGACAGCACCCAGTAGGTTCTGATACATACGTGGTACTTCTTAGGAATTTGGTTGGTTGGTCTCTTAACTTACCTTTTTTCCCATTTCTAGGTGATAAAAACAAAATCCAAAAGTTGGTTCAAATGGCCTGGACGTTTGTAAATGACAGGTACACTTATTCACATGCAGTCTAATTGTGTTAGAGCAGGTGGGCACTTTGTGGGTCGTCCCATCCATGCCTCTTCTTTTAGATCGGAGGAGACTGAGCAGCCCTGGGTCAGAGGCTGGCCTCCATGGTCCATGCCTCACACAGAGGCAAGTCCTGCCGCTCTGACAGACCAGGGTGTTGTGAGAATGAGCTCCTGTCACCAGCCTGAAACCGAGTCCTTGACTGGATACTCTGTCTGCCCTCCCATTAGATTTCACTTAAAATTCAGTTACTGGGATTCCAACCATTTGAAATTTGTATTTCCTCCCAGCAGTTTGAGAATGTGCTAGAATTCTCTTGCTTCGTTCAAAAACTGATACATTAGTACTACAGTTAAAGTCATTGATAATGGACTTCTTTAGAAAACCCAAAACCAAAGGGGGTTTTCCATCTGTACTGTACCCTACTTGATTTGTCCACGTCTGGAAAGTTGGTGCTAAGTACCACCAAACTGGTTCCGACTCTGAGGGAGCCAGGCTATGGGCTTTCCAAGGCAGGAGCAGAAAGCCTTATCTTTCCCCTCCAAGCAGCTGTTGGACTTGACCCACCGACAAGCGCAGTCCAGTGCTGGACCCTGCGGCTGGGAGAGGGCTCGAGCTAGGCGTGCAGGTGTAGGCTGCGGCCCGCTCTCCTGGTGACTCTGTCCCCCTTTCTCCCTCTCGGTGGCACCAGCCTGTGCACCACCTTGTCGCTGCAGTGGGAGCCGGAGATCATCGCTGTGGCTGTCATGTATCTCGCTGGTCGTCTCTGCAAGTTTGAGATACAAGAGTGGACGTCTAAGCCCATGTACCGGAGGTGGTGGGAGCAGTTTGTCCAGGACGTCCCCGTTGATGTTTTGGAAGGTACCGGGCGGGCACACTGGGCCCTGTGGGAGGGGTTTCCTCCTTCAGGGCGGTCTTCCTCACCAACCCTGAATCACAAGAGTGGATTTTCCCCAAGAGGCCGCTGTGAGCTGTTGTCCCCAAGTGTCTAACTCCATGTAGTAGCAGCAGCAGCATGGACATGCTGCCCCTCACAGCTGGGGCGAGGGGCAGGTGCAGTCCTGCTAGGGGCAACAGTGCAGGGGCGCCACACGTTTTCTTGACAATGTCAGCTGTGGTAAGTGTCCTTCTCACCACCTGTTCCTTAGACATCTGTCACCAGATCCTGGACCTATACTCACAAGGGAAGCAGCAGATGCCTCATCACACCCCCCACCAGCTGCAGCAGCCCCCATCTCTTCAGCCTTCACCACAAGTGCCCCAAGTACAGCAGCCCCCACCACCTCAAGGCCCCGACCCGCCCCAGCCCCCGCCCAAGGACGGCCAGCAGCCTGCGCAGCAGCCGCCGCCGCCCACCCAGCCTCCGAAGAAACCATCTCCACAGCCAAGTCCCCCCAGACAGGTCAAACGGGCCGTGGTGAGTGGGCTGACTGTTCTCCAGCTAATGGGGTCCCACTGGTCAGCAGGCCCCTCGTCTACCGGCACATGTGCAGCAGTTCTGCCGTGTGACTTGACACTTGTGAGTGACCCTGTGTTCCGGACCCTTTCAGTGGTGGGAACACAGCCCGTCAGGGTGGGCATCTGGGAGCAACGCTGCCAAAAATGGCAGCAACCATCCTTCCCAGAGCCCTCTCTGCTTTTCATATGGGTTCAAGAAATCTGTTGCCATGACCACCCAGGACTCAGACACCAGACTCACAGTTCCAGGGTTTTATTAGAGACATTAACCAGTTACAGTTCAGAGTCAGAACATTCTCCCAGTCAGGACGGCCTCTCCTCAGCTGTGCCCACCTGCAGGCCTCTCTCTGCTTATCCAGGGTCATTAAGAAGGAGCAGCCGGTGGGCTTGAACCACCACCCAACCTTTCTGTTCAAACCGACCTTGCAGTCCAGCACATTAACCCACAGCACCACACCCGGACTCCTGGATCTCTCTCTTAGGCTGCTGATCAATGCCCACAGGACACACTGCTCTACCAGCTTTAGCTTGATAGTACTCTGCAAGCACGCCCCCTGCCCAGAGCCACTCAGCTGGACTCGTCCGTGTGCTGGGCAGTCCACTGCCTTGTCTCATGCGCACTGCCGCTGCTGCTCCTCCGCCCTTCCTCCAGGGTCACAGCTCTCTATCCCTGGGTCCAGGAGGCTCTGTGAGGGGTCTCTGGGATGGTAGTGAGAGCTCCCCTTCTGCTGCTTCTTCTGAGATATTAACCTGACCAGCACTCACCACTGACCCCAGTGATCCGTCAGCCTCCTCCCACCTTCCCTCCCTCACCCGTGACCCCTGTGATCTGTCAGCATCCTCGCCCACCTTCCCTCCCTCACCACTGACCCCTGTGATCCCCATCAGCATCTTCCCACCTTCCCTTACCCAGAGCCGGCAGGGGATAGCTGTGGTGGCAGTCTCTAGGCACTGCAGCTAGAAGAGACACTCTTCAGTCATTTTGCCACAGACGCCTTCCAGGGAAGCTGACCAGATTCAGGAGGACTCGTTAGTGGGCTCGGAATTGCGGGGTACCACTGGTTCTGATGCGGATGGGTGGGGCATGAGGAAGGCTGCAGAGCTGCCCTGTTAGGGGCTATTGTTGCTTGGCAAGTTCAGGCCAGAACCCCTGGTCTGTGAGCAGGTTCCCACCATTCAGTTCTGGTAGCTGGGGACAATCTGTTCTCCTTGCTGCACCCAGGGTCTTGGTTACCACACACTTGTTTTCTCTCATGACAGGTGGTTTCTCCCAAAGAAGAGAACAAAGCAGCAGGTAATTTGCTCTTCTGATGTTTTGTTGTTTTCATTTTGCTGTCAGTTTGTCACAAAGGCGTCTCAGTGACACCATGGGTTAGGCATCAGGCTGCTATCCACACCGTTGGCTGTTCAAACTCACTGGCCACTCTGGGAGAAAGCGCTCCAGCCTTGGAAACCCTCCAGAGCAGTTGTTCTCTGCCCAGTAGGGTCACTGTGAGGCTGCTCTGACTAGATGGCAGGGCCTGGGCCTTGGTGTGGACTCCAGAATCATTGTTTGCTCTGACGGGCTTCCACTTGAACCCTGGGGCCCCTTAGTAGGTTTTCTTCGCACACCAGAAAGCACACATTGTCTTCTCTTAGTGCCCCCGGGCTGTGTTGACATTATACTCTGACCAGAAGTCTCAGGTCAAGAGAGCAGGCCATGGAACAGGACAGCAGGGAGTCAAAACTACTGCTGCCAGCTCATGGATCCCAATACTGTTTGGAGGTGTGTCTGTGATGGTGGATGGCTACAGTCCCCTCAGGCATGCACTGTCTCCGTCTCCCGTCCTAACAGTGGCTCCTGAGGGCCTCTGCTCAGCCCATGGAATTCAGGGCAGAGAGGTCAGCTCGAAAGGTTATGGTGGCTGCCGTTTGTTTACTGTGAAGGGTACTGGTACTCTAGAAAGGTTTTCTCAGCTGCCCTGCTGAGCCTAGACCAGGAAGGGTGCGCTGAGGGGTTACTCCCGCGCCTTCTCAGAGGACAGCTAGGGCTGTTGTAGGGGAATTGGCAGGGAAGCCTGACGCCGTGATTTTCTAGCAGTACATTTTGGGTTTACTCTTCTAAGTGTAGGAGAGCTGTTCATGTTGCGTTTATGTCTAGGTCTTGGTTTAGCCCATCAGAGTAGGCCTGTACTTGGAACAAAGGAAACGAAGAGATTCTGCTCCCTGACCTCACTGTTGTACAAGCCAGAGTGGAGTACATTCCTGGGAGAAAGCCAAAATGCCAAAACAGACAGACACTGTCTGGGCCTCCTCACTCAAGAGGCCCTGGACCCCCCGTGTCTGGTGACTTAGCATGATTGTTGTGGGTGCTGGCCCCACCCACTGCTCACCCCAAGTGATCCCTCCCACTCTGAGCAGCAGCTGAAGTCGGTGTGTGTCCCCCTAGGAGCAGACGGGGTCAGTGATGTCTCCCTGGTTTCTGGGGACGACTTCTGCTGTTCTCACGTCTTCATAAGCACTGGTGGACGGTGGCCAGCTAGGACGTTTGGATGGACAGGAAACGGTCTGACCATGACAAGCTGGGGAGGGTTTTGTTTGGACCAGACTCGTGCAGAATTGTTTTGCTGCGTCTTCTGCACATTCCCCTAAACCCTGTCTAGTTTGTTCTTTTCCCCAGAAATTCCTTGAACTATCATTTTTTTCTTTTTAATTTGTTGATACACAAGAGGAGGTCTGAGTGGTATTTTAATCTTTTTCTTCTTTTTAGAACCTCCACCACCTAAAATCCCCAAACTTGAGACCACCCACCCACCATTGCCTCCAACCCACCCGCCTCCAGGTAAGTGTCTGCTGAGCACAGGCCGGCGGTGCCTTTCATTTTCCGAACCAGAGACTTAGCATGTGTCCGCAGTCCCCAGTGTGTGTGACCATGCCCATCCATGAGCGTCTCCAGCCTCCGGGCGAGTAGGCACGTGTTCACAGTCAGGTGGAGAATCATGGGTAACAAACACACTGTGAGCCTGGAAGCTTCCACTGCAGCACTAACGGAGGGGGGGCCACCTAGAGAGCGTTGTTTCTGCTGCAGCATCTTCTGAGGGCTGCTGGCTGTTCTCGAGACGTCGGGATGCTGTCACCTTGGCTCGTACCGGCCTGCACGGTCTCCTCAGCCGTGAAGCCTCATGTCCCTCTCCGCACTGTGAACCTTGCTAGAAAACCAGGCCACTGGTCCCTCAGCATTTGTGAGACATCGCCTCTGTCTCCAGCCTTGTGGAGACTCCCGAGTACAGGGACACCGCCCTAAAAACCAGAATGTTTCCCCTCATGCTAGGCAAGTCTGCCTCTGGGCAGCTCACAGGGCTGGGTCATTCCCACCGAGGGCAGGGCGGGCTGCTCTGGTGACCTAGGCTGTGAGGTATCTGGGAGCAGCTGAGGAACCAGAAGGGGATGGCCAAGGGGTCCACAGGGCTCCCCGAGGCGCCTTCTTTCTCTGGGGTGCTGTTGGGAGACTGAGACAGAAGGGCCCGGCGCTGTGGGGTATCTGGTGGCAGTGTGCGCCGATGCTCAGGGTGCTCACTCCAAGTCCCAGCAGACACAGGAGGGTCACACGGGGTGTGCATGGGCCCGGAGGAGGTGAAGGGGCTGCTCACCTTGTAGAAGGGCCCCTGGCCCTGGACAGACCAAGGGTTCTCGGCAGGTGTGTGGGGGCCCCTCCAGCACAAGCAGGCTCCCCGGGACAGGTCTCATCTACAGTCTGGGCAGGCGGGCCCCGTTTCCCCTCAGCGGTGATCTCCCAAGACTAGAAATGGTGCTTGCAGGATTCAGCCACTGCCTCCGGAAGTTGCTGCCCCGGGCAGGAGGTTGGGGGTCATTCTGGGGCCTGACGGTGAGGTGACTTAGGGGCACGAGTGACTGTTGGTGAGGTTTGGGGGCGAAGGCCGGTCCTGGCTCCCCCCACGCACCCCAGCTGTGCACACCTGTCTTCAGAGGCAACAGCCAATCATGGCTGGTGGTCACCAGTCACACTGACCAGCTGGCTACTGGCTGGGTCTGTTGAGGATGTTGAGTCTGTGTGGCCCTGTGGTTAACTTGGGCCTTCTGTGTCCACCCGGGCTGTGTCCCTCAAGTGCCCATTCTATGGGCAGAGTTGGACAGACAGAGGAGCCTGAGCTGCAGATGTGGAGGGTAGAGGGCGGAGGGCGGGGCTGTGAGGCGAGGCCTTTGTGCCCAAGGGACAGTCCTGCCCTGAGCTGCTCTGACCGCTGGCCGCCTTCTCTCCTCGGCAGACCGGAAACCTCCCCTCGCAGCTGCCTTGGGAGAGGCTGAACCTCCGGGCCCAGTGGATACCAGTGATCTCCCCAAAGTCCAGATCCCACCAGCAACCCACCCGGCCTCTGTGCACCAGCCTCCACCGCTCCCACACCGGCCCCCGCCCCCGCCCTCCAGCTACATGACGGGCATGTCCACCACCAGCTCATACATGTCAGGCGAGGGCTACCAGAGCCTTCAGTCCATCATGAAAACGGAGGGCCCGGCCTACGGTGCCCTGCCGCCTGCTTACGGCCCTCCCGCCCACCTGCCTTACCACCCCCACGTCTACCCCCCAAACCCACCCCCTCCCCCCGTGCCCCCACCCCCGGCCTCCTTTCCCCCGCCTGCCATCCCTCCCCCGACTCCCGGTTACCCCCCTCCTCCCACCTACAACCCCAACTTCCCACCTCCACCACCACGCCTGCCCCCCACCCATGCTGTCCCACCTCACCCCCCTCCAGGGCTGGGCCTGCCCCCTGCCAGCTACCCACCCCCAGCCGTGCCCCCAGGGGGACAGCCCCCTGTGCCCCCGCCCATCCCCCCTCCCGGCATGCCCCCTGTTGGGGGGCTGGGGAGGGCAGGCTGGATGAGATAACTTGGCGCCTTTGCAGCCCAGGGAAGAGTAGTTGTGGTGGGTGGGCAGCAGGCTACCTTGGATAGCGGGGGTGCAAGCGGGCAGTGTGGGGTTGAGGGCCCCTCCCACTGGAGTGGGGGCAGGCGGCTGCACTGGGTAAAGGCTCCAAGGAGGGTCCGCAGCCCGTCCTGCTGGAGCCACCAAAGTCACACTGTCTGCAAAGTCCTCATCCCCAAACACCCACTGGGTCAGAAGAGCCCGATGTTTGGTTTCTACTTCTCATCCTTTGTATTAAAATTACTTTAAAGGGGTTGCCTTGTTGGATGGCTCTTTTCCTTTCCTTCAGGAGAAGGGAGAAGTGTGCTTGGACCGTAATGTATGTTTACATCGATTCGCAGATTCCTGTACAGAGATTTATTTTTTAAGTGTGAATGTAACAACGTACTGTGAATTCCATCTTGGTTACAAACAAGACTCCTTCAGTCGTCCAAATAAAACCAGTTCTGAAACTGCCACTGTGCCTGTTATGGGCTGGGGGGGGGGGGACGACGGGTCTGTACTGGGCCCACCCTTCATCCCAGGATACCTCCAGGGAGAATGGTGGCCACTCGAGTGTGCTCAGGAACACTATGGCCACTAAGCACTTACTAATAAGTGCAGTCCAGTCAGCATCCAACTCCTAGTGACCCTGTACGGGGTTTACCAGAGCAGCTGGTGAGCTTGAACCACCGGCCTTTCTGTCCAAGCCGACTTTGCAGTCCAGCGCATTAACAGCACCAAGTGATCTCGAAACCCACTGGATTTGCTCCACAGGTTCTTTAGAAAGGACTCAAGACTTGACATCTGGCCCATGTGGCCTCAAGTAGCACACACAGTCACCTGGAGGAGCATGCCCCTGTGAGTGGCAGCCCCCCAGCCCCCATTCCCGTAAGTGAAGCAGCGAGCTCAGGAGGCGGCTTACAAAGAGGCCTTTATTTATCTAGTTCAAAGTAGACACTTATCACAATCTCCTCTGGTACTCCTTTACTAAAATAGTTGAAATCAGTGTTTTTACCACACTATCAAAAATGTTTCTCTTCCCAGATCAAAGTGGTTCAACAGAAGGTAAAACTGGGCACCCGTGCCTAGGGGCTTCTGGCTATTGGAGCCGGGGTGGGGGATGGGGCTCGGGATCTGCCCATGGTCACAGACGACACTGCTGAGCCAGACTCAGCCCCTTCCAAAAAGCAGTGCACACACTCCCCTCCTTATGAAAAATATACAACTCTACTGCTCTGCAATCGTGCGTTCATTAAAAACAAAAAAATCAGTAGTGTCTTGTCTCAAGTTTCAAGGACAAACAAATGAAAGGTCACTTTCGTCTCTTTGAACACTGGTGTGTAGCTAAGAATTTGTGGGTAAAAAAATGTGCCACCCAAAAAGATGAGCTCAGCAGCTTCCGGTTCCAGGGTGGGCATGGCCCCTGGGGAGAGAGGGGACTCAGCAGGGTGATACCATCGCCCTGGGCTGCGAGGATTTCTAGGGAAGGACCTGATGCGCTGTCCTCCAAGTGCCCTGAACACTGGCCTCCCCAGCGATGGGAATGCAGGCTCACTGCTGGCCTTTTTTCTACAGTGTTTGAGATGTGACTGTCACACTCTGGCCTAGAAGGGCACCGGATGGCTGTCCTAGGACGACTGATGTGGCAGTGGGGTGGGAGGACAGGGACAAGCCTGCCCCCTCCTGGGACCCCCTGGGTGCTACAGCAGTGCCAGGGACATGATGCCATCCTTCCGGAAGGGATCCCTGGAGGCTTATTCTAACCGGGTCGCTGGCAGGTACCAGGAGTCCTTATTGCTTATTTCCAGTGGTGGCCAAGCCAGCCCACTCCAAACATGATCCAAGTGGGCTCCCAGCCCTGGCTCCTACACCTCAGGTGGTTCTGTGGATTAGCCTCCATGAGCCCAGCAGCCCCCTTGGGCAGGGTCCACCCTTCCAGAAAGCAGCCAGCGCTTCCTTGTGCGTCCACACAGGAGCAGCACCTGTCTCCCCTGAGGATCTGGGACCCATGAATATGTAAGGACAGGAGAGTCCCCTCCCCCTGCCCAGGCCCGCCAGCTGGGGGCACTAAAAGGCCTATTGGGCCCTTCCGGGAGACTGAGGACAGGAGAAGAATGGAGACAGTTGATGGGAGGAAGTGACCACAAGCATGTGAGAGAGTCGCAAGGGGGCTGGCGGTCATACTAGCTATCGGGGCACCGCCCGCCCTCTCTGCCTGCTGGGGTTTGGGTTTCTAATTCACAAGATCCAACGTCCCCTATGAGCCTCATCTTCCTCACACACAACAAACTATTTACCTCTAAGGTTTACAGTTTATACACGGTCATTTACACTGAAAGTCTCGCTTGGACACCCTGAGCCCTGCAAGGAAAGGGTTCAGGCTGCCCGTTTCACAGCTGAGGACACTGAGGCTTAGGGAGGTGAGCATCCGCCACCACTAGGCAGCAGGACGGTAGACGGGTCACACTCAGCCGGGGCCTGGTGTCCAGGAGCGAAGACATCGTGCAGAGGGGCCACTGACCGCGCGAGGGCTGCAGGGAACCCAGAGGCCCAGTGACCTGCTGAAGGTCATACAGCTCTGTCATGCAGGCTCCCTCCAGATGGCAGGGTTCTGGTCACCGGAAGCTCCCCACAGAGACTCATGGGTCAGCACAGAGGCGACCCAGGACCCACAGTATGGCGCAAACGGCAGGAGGGCGGGGCCGGGTGCAGAGGACACACCCCCGGATGGGCGGTGCCAGTGAGGGAGGGCGAGGCTACAGACTGGGGAGGGGCTAAGGGACAGGAATCGCTGGCCGTTTTCCTTGTGGAAGTCCCAGGGTCTCTGAGGGTAGGCAGGAAGTGGGGCCACCTGTGTCTGGATCCAGATGGTCTCTGGCCCAGTGCAGTGAGGGATGGGGGGAGCGAGATGGGGGGGTTGATGAGCTTCCCTTCCAGCAGGGCTAGGATGCACACGCCTCCGGCGGTTCCACACACCTCCTTAGGCGCTGGGGGAAGTGGGCCCCCTGCAGTTCACAGTGTGAGAGGCCAGAGATGGAGGCCCTAGGGCAGTGCATGGTGTCCTGTGGACAGTCCACCATGCTGAGCCTGTGTCTGCGGGGCCAGCCAGTCCACTACGGCAGAGGAGCCGCCTACAAAGGCCCCTTGAACTGGTTCCCAGACAGGTGCTGCCGGATGGAGGGCTTGGAGCTGGCGGCGTCCCCCAGTTTTCTCCAGACCACCTGTAGAGATGGAGGGGAGAGGCGTGAGTGCGGTCCCAGCCATGGCTCTGCCAAAGCATCAATCCTGAGCGTGGCCGCCGGTGAGGAAATTGAGGTCACAGACACTCAGCAGTGAATGTCTGCACACCCACCACATGGTCACGGGCTGCGGCTTAGTCCTGAGGCTACCAAGCATCCCATGTAAGCCCAGAAGGGTCACCAGGAAGCCCACACACACAAGGAGGCAGAAGACACTGCACAGGTGGCTGAGGGCTGAGAGGCTTTGAGCACCGCCTGTGCTGCGGACAGCCACCAGAGGGCACCAGCTGGACAGGGTGGAACTGTCCCCAAAGGTTTGTTGTTTAGTACCATTGAGTAGGTTCCCACTCAGTGACCCTGCATAAGATTTCAGAGGAGCAACTGATGAGTCTGAACTGCTGACCTTGTGGTTCTGCGCTTATCCAACAAGGCCACAGCTGGACTCCCTCCACAAAGGGTTTGCCAGGCTGGTGTGGCACTGTGGGACCACAAGGTCAGCGGTTCAAATTCACCAGCCGCTCCTTGGAAACCCTATACAGGGTCACTATGAGTTGGAACCAACTCCATAGCACTTAACAAGAACAGAAAGTTCAGAGGCCTGGTGTGGTGCTGTAGGATAAGCACTTGACCCCAAGGTCAGTGGTTCAAACTCACCAACCGCTCCTCAGAAACCCTATCCAGGGTCACTGTGGGTCAGAAGCCACTCAACGGCACTTGAGCTCCACACACACAGGGTCACTCCGAGTCTGAACCGACTCCACGGCACTTAACAACAATCATGGGAGCCTTTCAGTTACCAGCCATGCCCCTTAGGGGGACCCCAGGGACTGAAGGAGGGTCCTCTCTGGGAGGGGGAGAGGAAGGCAGTAGGGGACTGAGGAGTGCCACCCCAGGGTCCCCCCAGAAGTTTCCTCACGTTACACATCTCACGGACAATGGCCTTCTCCTTCTCACTCAGATCATCCTCACAGCTGTCCTCGAGCTGTCGGTCTAGGTTCTCATGTACCTCCAGGACCTGCAGGGACACCATGTCACGAAACACGTGAGGCCCTCAGACAAGTGGACCAGGGTCCTGAGTCTGTCTCCTTCCCCCTCAGCCCTACAGCACTGGGGCCACAAGTGAAGGCAGCTTAGGAGGGACACCTCATGGACGGGGGCTCGAGCCCACCCAGGCCACGTGACAGTGGGGTGGGTATGTTCTGGGACAGGTGTGTGCTACCTGTGGACAAGTACAGAGGCTTCCATGTTGGGGGTGGAGAGGGTTATGCATTCATGTCCAACTGACAGGTGGGGTGTGGGCTATGGGCAGGGGGTCGCTCTCCCCCTCCGTTGCACCCAGGAGCCAGAGGCCAAGACTGGAGCCTCCTCTGTCCTTGTGTCTCTGACCTGGAGGTGCCTTACCAACCCCAGGCCTCAGTTTCCCCAGCTTCAGCAGTTCCAAATCCCTCCCCACAGCACTTCAGGTGGTCCTGGCCCCTCTGTCCTCCCGACAAAGATGAACAAGCCCATGGAAGACCAATTGGGCCCAGTCGTACCTTCATGGCATGCACTACCACCTCAGGCTTCTGTCCTGCGGAGCTGTAGCTGGCCGGGGGTGGGGAGGGCAGCTCGGGGCAAGCTGGTCCCTGTGGGAGGGCAATGATTACTGTGTGACCAATGCTGGGAGAACACCCGAATCCAGGCCCAGGAGAGGAGGAGGGTGAGAGGCTGAGATCCCGTCTCCTCCCCCACCCACCTTGCTCTCCCCAGATCAAAGAGTCCCTCTGGACAAGGGGTAGTCCGGCCTACCCTCAGCCCACCGGACAAGACTGGTTTCACTTTGCAGAGGGAGCAGCTCAGAGAGAGACTGAGAGAGTCATACGGCAAGATGGGGAGGACACTCCCTGGGGTCTGGAAGCCTCTTCCAGCCACACTCTAATGGTTAGCCTGGGACTGGGGCACAGGGCAGACCTCACTGGAGCCAGAAGCTGGGAAAACCAGAACTGGGAACTCCACGGTGGCATCATGGCTGGTGAGCTTGGACAACAGTCTCCGGTCTCCGAGTCTCAGCTTCCCTCTCGTTAAGCATGGCTCTGCTACTACCCAGGGCCGAGGTCCATTCTGTAAACTCTGTTTACCTGCCCCCCAGGGTTCTACAGAACTAATGCTGACCCCTGGCTCAGGCTTCCAAGGCTATGGCGCCCAGCCCAGGTCCACCTGTCAGGAAATCAGGGCCAGTGGAAAAACGCAGGCAAGCTGAGCTGAGGTTGAAGGTCGCGTTTCCCCTGCCAGCCAGCAGGGGGTGCCACCCACACATGTCTGCTGAGGCAGGAAGGGTTGAGGTGGCTGTGAGGTCAGGAAAACAAGCATGCACCTAGGTCACTGTGAGGATGTCCCCTCTAGGGTCCTCGCAGACATACAAAGCTCCCCGAGGCCTCAAGATCGCAGGGGTACTCTACCCTCTCCCCTAGTGGGGTCCTCCCAACTACCCTCCAGCCAGATACAATGAGACGTGCAGATGAGAGAGGCTGAGAGAATGAGGTGTCCAAGGCCAAAAGCCAGTGCGTGGACTCAATCCTGACTCACAGGATTCCCAAGGCTATAAATCTTTACAAGAGCAGACAACTTCATCTTTCTTCCTTCCACAGAGCGACTGGTGGGTTTCAACCACCGGCTGTTTGGTTAGTGGCCCAATACTTAACCCACCAGAGCTCCCTGTCCAGACCAAGAAGCTTATAAACAGTGGACCTGGGACTCCAACCTAGTAAGCAGGCCTACAGAACTGGGACGGAAAGCAGGGAGGCCAGTGTGTGGTCAAAAGGGCTGAGGCCCTAGCGTCTACCCAGCAACATACACACAAGGGTCCTCATCATAACCTGAAATAGAGATGGCCCGAGTGTCCACCCAGGAATGATTGGCCGGTCACAAGTGGGCCCTCCATGCAACGAAGCACTATTCAGCCGAGAGGAGACATCAAGTATTGATCCCGGATACCCCACAGATGGACCTGGGACACGCTGAGACCAGAGAGATTGGATACTGTCTGAGTCCATTTACAGGAAGTGGTCACAATAAACAGACCCACAGACAGAAGGTAGATTAGTGGTTGCCAGACCTGGAGTGGGGATCGAACACTAACAAGCTCAGGGTGTCTTTTTGGCGTGATGAAAATGTTCCAGAATTAGGTTGTTGTCATGAACACAATAAAAACCACTTTAAAAAATAAATTAGTGGCACAATAGTGAATAATTACCATCAGGACTGACTGTGAGGGTTGGAAATGTAAACGTAGACGTTTTGTAGCAAAAGGAGGGGAGTGATTGATTTTGCAGTCCAGGAGTGGTGGTCCCTGGGACCATGAAGGGAGAAGAGTGGAGAGCGGAACCCTACCCAGAGAAGCACTGATGCCAGAGATGGAGGCAGAGACGATGATGTGGAGAGATGGAGCAGCTGGGGACTCTAGACCCAGAGAGGGAGGGGCTGTGTGTACCACTTGGTTGGTTGATGATGCATGGAAGGGACTGTAACCATGGCAATGAAACGATATACGATAGGATGAATGTAAAACTAATGTTCTCCCATGTAAACTATCACCTAATTCACAATAAAACATTGAACTATATATATGTATA